ATAATTTATTGAAACTACAATTTCAATGCATATTTTTAAAATTTTTAGTTGAAAATTAAAAATTTATTTAATTGGTGGTTTTGACGTAGGTACTAGTGGGCGCACCAAACATTTCCCAGCTAGAAATGGATCGAGCTGGCAGCACCGTTTGCCTCGTTTGAGTTGTTCCTGTCTGCTTTATTTTGCCTTTTTGTCTTGTATGTGTAGCTCGTTTGTAGTCTGGTGTGAGGTTGTGTTTTCTTCTATTTTTGTTTTTTTTTTTACCAAGTCAAGTGAAGCGGGAACCATTTTGTTTTGATTGCAGCAACGTGTTTAGCTTTGTTTTTTGTGTATAATAATACTTTTACCAAGATTTTTACTGTGTGGAGCTTTTCTTGATTTGTGCCCCTTTACAATTCTCTCAATGTTTGTTGGTTACCTACCTATTTTTTTTTGTTATATTTACTGTTGTTTAACGTTAAGTTTAAGGGTATGTTATATTTTATAATTGATCTTAAGGGTATCTATGTTATATATATTTGATCTAGTGTTAATTTTTTTCAGTTTTTCAGTGTAATTGTTAAGGTATTTATTAAGTATAAAAATTGTCACTTGAAAATAAAATATTTATATGGTTTTATTTTTCACTATTAAATTACACATAAATACATATGTATCCCTATGTATAGGGTTTTCTCCTATATTTTTGCACCCCATCTGAACAGGTTAATTGAATAGGTATCAAGGGTGTAAATACAACATTTGTATTTACATCTTTTTGACGCCTATTCAATCCACCAGTTTCGGTAAGGTGCAAAAATATATGGGAAAACCCTGTACGTCCCAAACACATTCATAAAAAGCTATACTAAATACGTACGTTGATGTACGTCCCCAACACGTACCTAAAAAGCCGTACTGAGTACGTCCCTGAATATACGTACGTGGGAAGTACAGGGTTATTGGTTATAAATGTCACCCCCCTCTATCTTTTTTATTTGACATTTTAGAAAAAAGTGTCTCAAATAAAAAATGTATGGTTGAAATTAAATTTTTTGAAAAACTCATTTTTGTATTACAGGGTGTTTCAAAAAAGCTGGTCGTGCTCTAACTTTTAAATTGAATACCCTGTATGTTATTCAATATTCGGATTCTACATCAAATTCTGAGCAGATTTCATGGATATACCCTATACCTAAGTTCAACTGTTTTCGGAATATTGACAGTTGAAAATTGACTTTTTTGCAAATTTGACAGGTTGTAAAACCCAAACGGTTAACTTTTGAGCAAAACCGATCTTACATTTTTTTCTAAGATTTTCACAAGTTATAATTTGACACCAACTTTGAATTTAACCGAAGATTAAATTCAATTGGAATTTTCAATCATGGATTAAATTCAAAGTTGATGCCAAATATTGGTGTCAACTGATAGTTTATAAAAATCTAAGGTAAAAATGTGATATCGGTTTTGCTCTAAAATTAACCGTTTAGGATTTACAACAGTCAAAGTTGCAAAAAAGTCAATTTTCCATGCACTGTCAATATTTCCAAAACAGTTGAACTCAGGTTATAGGGTATATCACATAAAATCTGCTCAGTATTTTACGTAGAATCCGAATATCCAATAACATACATATATATACTATTTGAAATAAGAAATTTGGAGCACGACCAGCTTTTCTGAAACACCCTATATATGCGAAAGTGACTTTTTCAAAAAAATTAATTTCAACCATAAAACTTTTATTTGGGACACTTTTTTCTAAAATGTCAAATGAAAAAGATAGAGGGGGGTGACATTTATAACCAATAACCCTGTACTATTTTGTGGAAAACGACCGTCTTGAAGACGTCCTTCGGACGTCGGCGGGACCTAAAAAGTACGTCCGCGGACGTACTTTCGTCCGATAAAGTACGAATTATGGACGCACTAAAGACGAACTTGTGTTTGTTGGGTAGTCGTAGCGTTGCCGTTGCAGTTCAAAGCACATCAGCATCAAATGCAAGTACTGCAAGTATTAATATAGAAGGTAAGATAAATTAGTATACATATTGTAATTTTAGTAGAAAGATAATAGTTTTTAAAATTTCAAAATTGGCTCAAGCAGGTACCTATTTTCCATATTTTTTCCAAAAAAAAAAAATTAGTGCAATTTGATATATGGTACCTATATGATGAAATCTCTATACCTAGGAACTGGAAATAATCATAACTGTATTATATGCAACACCGAATATTTCTAGTTATTTTTGGATAGAAAAGCATAGTTTGAGTACAGTGACATTCCACTTGTGGTTTTTTTAACACCTCTAGCTCCAGAAACACGTGGAACACTTTAATAGATAATAAAAGTTCACCTGTTCCTTTTTTTAGAGCTGGAAACTATCCCTAGAGAAACGACTCATGATGACCTGTTACCATCAAATGATTTGCCAGTTTTGGACCTGAGCACTTTGCAAACAGGACAAAGACAACCTATTGTAGAAAAATACCCATCAACGAAAGTTGGAATTCAAAACCGAAGTTTTTCTTCAAAATATTTTAAACAGTATGGCTGGATTGAATATAGCGTACACATTGATGCGGTATTTTGCTTTTGTTGTCGGCTCTTTGGTAAGGAGAACGTTAATGAATCAGTTTTTACTGAAACTGGATTTAGAAACTGGAAAAAAATATCAGAGAAATTATCTAAAGAATCTGAAGGTAAAGCACACATTCAAAACAATAAAAAATATGTGGCATATAAGGAATCATGTAAATCAGGTTCTGTGGTTACCAAATATCATGCGCATATAAAGAACGCAGATCAATCAAAATAGAGAATATTTCAAAATAATATCGGATATATTACTGACACTTTGTCGCCAGGGTGTTGCCCTTAGAGGTCACGATGCATCAATGAATTCCAAAAACAAGGGAAATTTCAAAAAAATTTGTCGATACAACCCATTGTTTAAAGAACAACATGAAAAATATTTCAACTTGACAAGTTCTGATATACAAAATGATATATATTAAATATAGGTGGAAATATGATTTTAAGCACTATTGTTAACGAAATCAAGGATTGCGGCATGTATGCATTAATGGTGGATGAGGCGCGTAGTTTTAAGGAACAACAACTTTCTATTTGTGTAAGGTATGTCAAGGGATTTAAATGAAGAGAGGTTTTTGGGTTTTATTAATTGCTCCCAGGAACGCGATGCTGCAAATCTGTGTTCTATTTTACTCAATTTTTTTGAAAAAGTTGGACTAAAAAACTTTCCCATCGTTGCACAATCATATCATGGTGCAAGCGTTATGTCAGCTAGAGTTGGAGGCTTGCAAGGAAAAATAAGAGAGATTTATCCTTCTGCTATTTATATAGATTGTATGGCGCACAGATTAAACTTGGTCGTAACCGATTTATGTAGAGAAATAGAAAGTGTCAAAATCTTTTTCAACACCCTAGAAGCACTTTACGTACATTTTTCTTTTCCTGGTAATCACAGTGTTCTAATCAACATCCAAAAAGAACTGGGTCTTTCAAAGACTGAGTTAAGTCGGTTATCGGATACTACATGGAGCTGCCGAAGTACTAATTGCCAAGCTGTGAAAAAAAATTATGCAGCGATAATTAATACCCTTCAATTCGAAATCCAGCAGAACTCAGACAAAAGTGGTGTAGAAGCGGTTGGCTTGTTGTCTAATATGAAGTCATCGAAATTTTTAATTAGTTTGGTAATCATAGATGACATTCTAATTATGATAAATATTTTAGGGAAACAGCTGCAATCTGAAAACGGAACATTGGCAGAAGCTACAAATATCATTAATGGAACCATAAAATCATTGGAGCAAAAACGTGACGAAAATGTTTTTGCATGATTGTGGGTTGAGATAGAAGATCTAGCCAAGAAAAATTAGATAGGCCTTGATATACATTCTTCATAACGCAAAAAATCAGAAAATGTACACTCGTCACCAAAAGTATCTGGGACAAAAATAATGCATAATAATCTCCTGGACTAATTCTACTGTCATTCATTTCAACGCATTTGATTCATAGTTTGACAAATATTTGACAATAACATTCATATAATAGTACAAGAGCTGATATGATGCTGTCCCAGTTACTTTGACGACGGTACGTCTTAAAGAATATGTCGTAGAAGCATCGACGCCTGCAATTGATGACTTTAGAGAAACATTAGCAGAGTCAACAATGGCTAATCCTGCTCAAAGCTTTTGGCTAACTACAGTGTATCACCGATCATTTGATAATATTATAGGCCATATGAAAATACGATTTTCGGCAGAGAGTCAAAAGTCAGCTGTAGCTGTAGGGGAACTGGGTATAGAATTGGGTACCAGGGTGGAACAGGGTACCACGTTTCAAATTTTCGCGGGTTATTGCAACGCTGCCATATCGATATATATACACAGCACTATACCACTTTTCCCTAGGAATACGTTGGCAGCAAATTTGACTTTGTCGGTAGTTCTTCGACAGCTGTTGCGCCGAACGCGTCTCTCTAAAGCTCCACTGTAAGAATTCAGGAATTTACGAACAACGGTGAGTGTTTAATTTAACTAGCCGGTCATTTTGTGTAGTATAGGAAGAAAGCCCTTCTCTTCGGGTACCCCATAAAGCGAAACTATTAGTTCAAACCTGTTATATCTTGAGGTGTTTGAATAAAAGATCGATGCTAAATTAGCTAAGTTTTTATTCCTTGTTGTCGGAATATTATTTTAGATGTTGATGGGTTGACCGCCGATGGAGAAGAGAGCGAGCTGGTCCCCTGTGGGAACGCTCTAGCGCTGCTAACGTTAATGCGCGGTTGCCACGTCCTCGCACCCCCGTTCTTAGATTTTTAGTATTAGTATGTACTAATAATTACAGTAAAGATACCCTAATTCCTGAAGGGCAATAAAGTGGATTGAACAATGAAAATTGACTTATGTAAGACCTTAAATATTTCATTAACAATTCCCCTTTACTCTGCCTAACTTAACAATGTGTGTGTGGCAATCAGAAACTAAGTGTATTCTTCTTCTTCGGAATTTACGTTGTATTCCTTCAAGTACGATGGTGGCCTCCGTAATCGGCTGGGGCGTCTGCTTCCAAGACTGTCGTGCCTTGCTGTGCTGGCTTGGGGTTCAGCTTCACTTTCTTGGGGTCTCTCTTGCTTTTTGCTCACAATGGCTGGGCGCTTTGTTGTAGCACCTGTAGCTAATTTTGTGACTTCGGAGTTGCTTGGTTTGGCTGGCATTGCTTCTAATGATGGTGGTTGCTCTTCACAGGGATTTTTGCAATGCTGTGGCGGTACTTTTGCAGACTCCGGACCAAACCTATTAAAAGAATGATTATTAGTGTCTTTGTTTAATGCGGTCAATGGGACGTTAGTCGGTTTATCACAACTGTCTATCTGTTGCTTGTTATTTTGTATACAGTCATAAAAGTTATTTTCACTGCTGTCACTAAAACTGTCATTATCATTGTCAGTTCTGTCACACTCGTTTGATGTGGAGGGAGCGACGGGCCTGTTTGGAGTCGCGACAGCGTTTTCCTGGTTATCTTGACTGGTTGGGGTTTTATTGTTTGAGGTATAGGGTATTTTCAACACTTTCTGTGTTTCGTTGTGGGGTTTCCGGTTCCCTTCGAGGTTCCTGTGTTCTGTTTTCCTTTTTTCCATTTTGTGAAGTTGGTTTGTGTGTCTTTTCCAATATCCTTCCATCTGTTTTTACTAAATAAGTAGTTTTCCCAATTCTCTTCTCTATGGTTCCTTCTGTCCATTTGGGTTTGTTTATGGTTCGAAAAATCTTTGACCATTACTCTTTCTCCTTCCAGAAACTTCGTTTTTCTTCCTGTTCCATAGTACTTTGCTTGTATTTCTTGCGATTTTTGAATATTTTGGGACACTTCAGTAGGTAGAATTTCGTTTGTATTTTTCAACAGGTCGAACCTTGATCTAAGTTTTCTTCCAAATAAGACTTCTGCTGGAGATTTCTTTGTTGCCGTATGCTCTGCGATTCGGTAACTGAACAATATTCTGGAAATTATTGTCGCCACTGACGTTTGTCTGTTTTTGGAATCAGCGATAGCTGTTTTCAACTTATGTTTTATTGTTTTAACTATGTTTTCGGCTTGTCCATTACTTTGAGGGTGGTGGACAGGAGTTGTAATGTGAGTTATTCCATTCATCTGGAAGAATCTTTTCATGTTTTCTGCCACGAAATTTGTTCCGTTGTCAGTCACTACAAGTTTGGGCAGTCCAAATCTGGAAAAACACTCTCTGAATTTTTCCTCAGTTTCATTTGATCTTAATGAATTGCATGGAAAAACCTCTGGGTACTTGCTGTATGAGTCAATGATTAGTAGAAAATATTTACGGCTTAACTCCAAATAGTCTGCGTGTATGCGATGCCACGATTCCTCTTCCGTTTGCCAGGGTGTAAATTCAGCTTGGGGAGGATTTGCTCTATGGTCGAGGCACGCAGTACAAGACTTTATTAAGTTTTCCAATCTACTGTCAATTCCTGGAAACCATAAGTAGCTTCGAGCCAATGATTTTGTCTTTGTAATGCCCAAGTGTGCTGGCTCGTGCAGTTCCTTCAATAGCCTCTCCTGAAGACTTTCTGGTATCACCACTCGATGACCCCAAAGCATTATGTCTTGATCTAAAGAAAGTTAATGTCTTTTATCGAAGTAAGGTTTTATTATTTGATTGATTTTGTTTGGCCATTTGCCTTGTGTAACAAATGTTTTTACCTGCATTAAGGTGTTATCCTTGTTGGTTTCTGCCCTAACTAAATTGTTATCAATTGGCCATTCCGAGCAATTAGCTATAAAATTCAAATAATTACCTTTTCCTTCATATTCCTGGTCTATGGTTTTTATTTTCAATGGGGCTCTGGACAGGTAATCTGCCAAATGATTGTCCTTACCCTTGACGTGCTCCTCCCTGTAATTGAAACCTGACAGGTATAGCGCTATTCTCTGTAGACGGTTGGCATATGTTGTGGGAATTTGCTTGTGTTCGCCAAAAATGGTGGTCAACGGCTTGTGATCCGTTCTCAATATGAATTTGTTGCCCAGGAGGTACTGTTCAAACTTCTGGACTCCGTAGAAAATCGCTAAGCTCTCCTTCAAGATTGTTGAGTAGTTTTTCTCTGCTGGCATTAGCGTTCTGGATACACAAGCAATGGGTCGTTCCACTCCGTCTGTCATTCTATGCATTAACACAGCTGCGATGCCAGCGTTTGATGCGTCTGTCTGTAAAATCAAAAGCAATTTTGGATTAAAATGGACCAGGGTTATGTCTTCAGCTATAAGTTCTTTTATTTTATTGAAAGCAAGTTCTTGAGCTCGTGACCAATGAAATTTTGTTTCCTTCTTTAATAACATATATAGGGGTTGAAGGTATGCGGCCAAATTGTACACGAATCGACCGTAATAGCCCACCATGCCCAGAAATGCTCTGAGTTCAGTTAATTTTTTTGGTGGAGGTGCTAGCGAAATTGCTTTTACTTTGCCGTCTAGTTTTTGGAGTCCTTTTGCTGAAATTTTATGCCCTAGGTACTCGATTTCGTGCTCAAAAAATTTGCACTTATCAAGTCTTGCTGTTAGTCCTGCCTTTTCCAAACTGCTCAGCACTGCATCCAGCGTATCCAGAGGCTCTTCCTCGGTTTCGCCTGTCAAGACAATGTCATCTGAAAAATTTATTACATTGTCCATACCCTGAAATAGTTGTTCGACGTATTTTTGGCATTTAGCACTGGCAGGCGAAATTCCAAAAGGCATTCGCTTCGGTGCAAACAAACCCTTCTTAGTGCTTATTACTAGCAGTTTACTTGTCTTCTCGTCCAATTCGAATTGATTATAGGCCTGCGACAGATCAATTTTGGTAAATTGCTTACCTTTGTGTAGTCTTGCGAAGATACTGTCTATCGTGGGAAGGGGGTACACTACCTCATCCAAATGTGGGTTAACAGTTGCTTTATAGTCACCACATATCCGTATTTTTCCATCTGCCTTCAGCACAACTACCAATGGAGTTCCCCAGTTGCTACTGTCAATTGGAGTGAGTATGTCTTCGTCCACAAGGCGTTGTAGCTCTTTGTTCATGTCAGCTTCGTAGGCAAATGGTACGTTCCTCGGCTTGCAGAACACAGGTCTCGCTTCGGGTTTTATCTGCAGAGAAATTTTTTCATATTTAAAACAACCTAACTTTTTTCCAAACACTGTATCTTTATACTTGTCCAAGATTTTGTTAATTGACTTTTTGTTTTTTATTGTGACGTTGTTAATTGATTGCAGGGTTAATTTGAAAGTGTTCATGAAATCTCGACCTCCAATAATAGGTCCACCATTGTCGACTACATAGAATTTTACATCCTTTATCAAGTTATTTAGGCTTACTTTGGCTACAAAAAATCCTAATGGTATTATGTCTTGACTGTTATAGCCTTTTAAAATGATGCTATCTCTTTTCAAATGCGCTTTGGAAGAAAAGTTGTTTTTAAAGTCATTATAATTCATAGCACTGATACTAGCACCAGAATCAATTTGAATTTTACAAGGTTTTTTGTCAATATTTGCAGATAATAGAAATGGATTTTTGCAAACGCCGCTTGGGCTTGACGTTATCGCATAAAAATCTGAGTTACAACTATCATTGTTCACTACTTCTTCTGCATTCAAAAAATAATTTTTTCTTTGTTTACATGCATACTCAATATGGCCTCTTTTGTTACAATTTGTACAAGTAAAACCAGAAAATCTACATACCCCATAATGCTTCCGTCCGCAATGATTGCAAACATTGTGATTATTTTTTTTATTTTTGTTTGTATACCCTCCATAACCAGTATTTTTTTCTCTCACATCAGAATTTGACATTCCTTTGTGTTTGTTGTCGCCGCCATTATTGCTCCTTCTCCATTTCGACGCAGGGCCGTGGCTCCCACCAGCACCGCTCGTTGACACTTCGCCGTTGCGCGCTCTGTCTCCGGCGTTGCCGCTGCTTTCTTGATGACGCGATCCTCTTGACAGCAGGTTGACCTCTTCTTTTTCCGTAGCTTCCTTGGTGATTGCAAGGTCTACCAATTGCTTCAAATTTTTGGACACATGTTCTTCGCATAGTCGATCCAAAATTCTATTGTTGGTCATTCCGGAGACGAATTTATGCATCAAAACTTGCTCCAGGCTTCCTTCGAATTTGCAATTCACTGCCAAGCTTTTCAATCTAGCATAACAGTCGCTTACACTTTCGCCTGTATTTTGACTTGTTCCATAAAACTTTAGTCTTTCTCGCCATACCGAGACATGGGGACTTAGTTGCTTGCTTAGAAGGTCACACAGCTCGTCATATTTCTTGTCCTTGGGTGGATCGGGGTAGCACAAATCTCTTAGTAGTTTGTACGTGGAGGCACCGATCAAACTGATCAGCGTGGCGGTTTTTAGGTCATCTTCCTTTACTCTATTAGCCACGAAATATTGATCCAGTCTTTCAATGTAGATCGCCCAATCCTCGTTGTCTGCATTAAATTCACGTGCTTGGCCGATGATGCCTGACAACGCCATTTTGTGAACCACACCAACGAAAAAAAAAAACTGAACGAACACGCGATTGCACTACTTTTTGCGATTATTACCGATTTTCGCGATTTTTACCGACTTCCGCATTTTTTCCTTATTTACTCGTCGCCATTTGTTATATCTTGAGGTGTTTGAATAAAAGATCGATGCTAAATTAGCTAAGTTTTTATTCCTTGTTGTCGGAATATTATTTTAGATGTTGATGGGTTGACCGCCGATGGAGAAGAGAGCGAGCTGGTCCCCTGTGGGAACGCTCTAGCGCTGCTAACGTTAATGCGCGGTTGCCACGTCCTCGCAAAACCCGTCAATTGTTTACCTAGTCACAATGGCGACGAATGCTCCTGGGGCAGAATGGGGAGAGGCAGAACGGGGTGTACCCCGTTCCGCCCCACGTGTATGTTGAACTGCTAAACTTCACTGAAGATGTTGTTTATTGAAGTGACTGTTTTAAATATGTACATTGTAGACGGTAGCTATAAAACTCACTCCGTATTGAACAACATTCAGCTATTATCATCCTAAATAAATTATTTTTTCTAGATGGTTCGAACATATGTGAGAAAAACGGAACGACAACAATGGTCTTCGGAGTCAATGCATCAAGCTGTTCTTGCTGTTTTTAATCATGAGATGGGGTACAAGAAAGCAGCACAACAATTTAATGTTCCACAAACCACCTTAGAACGCTACGTTGCTAAAAAAAGACAGGAGGATGAAAATTTTAAAATTGACAAGACTGCTGGAAAATTTCAGAAGGTTTTCACACAAGAACAGGAGTTATAGTTAGTGCAATACCTAACAGATATGGAAGGTAAATTATTTGGTCTAACAATGGAAGATTTTCGAAAGCTGGCCTATCAACTGGCTGTACCGAACAATTGCAATAATAGATTTAACTGCACTACCGAAATGGCCGACGAAACATGGATGAAAGAATTTCTGAAGCGACACTCTACCCTAACGTTGAGAAAACCTGAAGCAACGTCTGGTGCACGGGCGATGGGTTTTAACAAAATTGCCGTAGATAGC